CGGCACCTTCTCAAGCTGTCGCATCAAAGTGCCTGCCTTTTCGTAGCGCCTGATTGAGGAGGCGGCCCGCCACATCCCACGCTGCTGAATGTCGGGGATGCTGCGGAGGCCCCTCGCGGCGTCTACTGACGGGCCGCCGTGGCGGGCGCAGTGAGGAGTCACATCTAAGCGGTGCAGCTGAAGGGCCGCGACCGCGGCGTTGAAGTACCTTTCGTACTGGGCCAGCGTCAGCGGGAAGAGTGGGCGATGCGGCTGGCGCTGGCCCTTCAGCTTCACGAGGAGGTCGGCCACGAAGCTCCGACCGGCCTTGAAGCTCGCCTGGTCTCCGAAGATCAGCGTCATGTCGTGCTCGTTGTTCTTGAGCCGCGGGCGGAGCTCGGCTCCGTCGTCGGCGTGGAGCGGCGCGATGGTGGCCGTCACGCGAGGGTGCCCCCTGGCCACCCCGCCCGCGGCGACGTGCACGTCGGCGCCATTGATCCTCAGCGCGCTGGACGGCCGGAGGTACCCGTCGAAGCTGGTGGCGAGCGCCCCCGCGGCGGCTTCGCCGAGGGGCCCCTGCTGGATCATGCGGTCGGCGATCAGGACAGCGGCCCCCCACGGCAGCGGGTCGCGGACCCGCCCTGGCCCGGCCTGGCTCCAGCCGGCGAGCGCGTCCCGGCTGAGCGGCAGCGTGGCGGGGGTCCGTCTCGGGTAGCGCAGGCAGTGGATGGCCCCGTGCACCGCGTAGCGGCCCTCGGCCAACGCCTTGCCTCCGAAGTAGCGCGCGTCGAGGTAGTCCTCCAGTGTTCGATCGACGAGGTCGTGAGTCGTGAGAGGGCGGCCCTGCTGTTGAGCCCAGACCTTGAACTTCGTGTAGGAGTCGAGGTACCTGCTGGCTGTGATGGGCCTGACTCGGCGCGTCTGGAGGTAGGGTCTTGGCTGCTGCTCGGCGCGGGCGCGCCTCCTGGCCGCCAGGGCGGCGGGCTCGACGTAGTTCCGCCGTCGGCGGGGCCCTGCGACTGGCTCGCGCCTGAGCCCAGCGGGCACCCCATTGGGAGGCCTCGGGAGGCCACTCGGGCGGAGAGCCCCTCGGGCAGCGCGGCCACGGCCTGACGAGGTCGCCGGTGGGCCGCCCGACAGCGGCCGCCAGGTGAGCCTCCCAGTCGTCGGAGACCTGTGGATCGCCATGCCGGCGCCAGGCCGAGGAGGGCGCAACGGCACCCAGCGCCTTGGCCCAGGCTCGGCACAGCGCCGGTGGGTACGAACCCGCCAAGGAGGTCTTCCACCGACTTCGGATTGAACCCTCGATGGCCACGGAGACTTTGCCCTCGAGGATCTCATGAGCGTGGCCTCCAGAGCATGCACGTCCAATGACCGATAGATCAGGATGATCTGAAATGACGAATGTAGGCTTCTTATATGTGCAACCGTACTGGCAATAGTGAATGAGGATCTTGACAGACTCAGCTGAGCAGATAAACGATGCTAAGGGAGCCCATGTGAACAGCTTGGAGGACGCGGGGTTCTCGAGAGACCAGTGCACGTTGAAGCCCCTGCAGAGCCTCATGAGTTCTAAGGTGCGACGGGCTAGCTGGAGCCCTTGACGGCGATGTTGGGAGCGAGCCGCCCCAGCAGCCTGGCTCCACGCGATGCACGGAGCCCCAAAGTGCACCCACCAGAGCTTCCGAGACCTGGTCCAAGACGCCAGGACATTGAAGACCCTGTAATCCAGGATGTCGACATGCGAGCCGTTCTTCAGGTCCACCGGGGCCGTCACCAAGAGGCCCAAGTCCCTGGGGGGGGCGGTGGGCCGGGCGCAGCCCGCGAAGATCTCGCAGAAAGCTTTGGGGCGACGGGAAGCACGAGGACGAGAGGCTGCGAACAAGGGCTTTTTGCTCTCTGCCTCCCTCGGAGCAGGCGCGGCGATGACGCCGTCTCTGAGGCTGCCTCTTTGGTAACCTCCGGGATATCAAACGATTGTGGCGGCTGCGGCGCTGGCGCGACCTCTGACAGGCAGCGGCGGCCGCGGCGGGCATGCAGGCCTGCCGCGCGAGCAAGGCGCCGCTGGGCACCGCGCGCGGTCAGACCGCTGGCAGAGCCTGCGGCGGGTCGGGCAGCCGGCAAGCCCTCGGCTGGAGGAGGCGGCCCCAAGCTGGCCTCGATGGCGGCCAGGGCAGCGGGCGGCCCCCGCTGCGGCTGCCCGGGCTGTACCTCCCCGCGGTCGGCCGCTCTGGAGTCGGAGTCGGTCGGGTTGCGGTCCGCATCGACGTGCCGCTGCCGCCGCTGGATGTCGGCGGAGATCTGCCTCGCGGCAGCGACCCGACAAAGCTGTCTGAGGGCAAAGTCACGGGCGCGGCCCTTCTCGAAGCTGAGGAGGGCGGCCATGTTGTCGCCCATGCTGCCCACGCGGTGGCCATGCATCCTGGTGCTCCGCGAGGCCCTGATCAGGCCGAGCAGCTGCGTGCGCGCCTCCTTCGCGTGGATCGGGGCCGCGTACCTCCAGGAACCTCGGACGATAAGAGCCCAGCGATGGCGGTCGACCACGGCGTCGGCCACAGGAGTCACCATCCCGTCAAGCTCGAGCGTGGCCGTGCGCGCGGGCCGACGGTCCAGACAGGCGGCCCCGCGATACTCATCATCAAAATCAAAAGCGGGGTCGCCCGCAAGCCCCGCCGCGAGGGTAGCTGTGGCCTCGGCGGCGATAGCGGCGGGTGGACCGTCAGCCGCCCCAGGCAAGAAGGTAGGCTCTACGTCCAGGAAGCGCCAGCGCCCCCGTGCACTGAAGGTGCCGAGCAGCTCGTCGTCCGACAGGCAAGCCTCGTGCAGCGCGTAGCCGTAGGTGCTGGCGTCGCTGCAGTAGGTGACCGGGGCCCACGGTGCCCCGAGGCCCACTTCCACCAGGAAGATCAGGCCCTTGGCGTCACGGATCTCGTCCAAGAGGTCGGGCTGGAACTTGGCGAACCTCTCGCGGTGCTCCGCGATGAAGTGGTGGCCCAGGTCGAGCACCGCCAAGGCGGGCCGCATCAGCACGAAGAAGTTCACGAGGTGCCCGTAGCGGATGCGGAGCGCGTAACCAGTAGCACCACCTACGCCTATGAGGCGCTGGAGGCCCAGGTAGAGCTTCCAGGCCCTCTTGTCGGCATGCCTGAGCTTCCGCGCCTGCCCATCGAAGACCACTCCGACGGACTCGTAGAGGCGGGTCGGCTCGACCTTCTCGTGGTAGGCGAGGTTCAGGCGATCCAGCTCCGCGCAGACCTCGTCGAGGGCCGCGCCGACGTCCTCCGCGCAGACGCCGAAGAGGTTGGCGTTGTCCACGTAGGGCGACACCAGGGGCCGCCCCAGGGCGAAGGGCGGCGCGGGCCTCTTGTCCGAGATCACACACGGGTATGGGGACCCAGCAAGGCGAGTGACAGCCTCTGTCTCCGCGGACTCGGTCACAAGTTGGCAAAACCAGAGAGACCAACTCCAGCCCATCGGCAGACCCCTGAAGACGGGGAAGATCCTCGTGTCACTAGAGCCCTGACCCAAAGTGCGCGCGTCCGTGAAATAAACGTCGGGATCGCCAAAGTAGCCTGCGGCCTCGGGGAAGTCGAAGCCGAACCAGTCCGCGAGGTCGTCGTCGACGAACTGGTAGAACCCGTCGCGCAGGTCCACGCCAGCGCCATGCGGGTCGACCTCGGCGTCAGCGAGGCCCGCCCTCCGCAGCGCCGAAGGTGAGAAGTCAAGGCCAGCCAGCGCTCCCGCAGAGCCGAGAGCAGAGCGAGGAGGCCGTCGGTGTAGGCTCGAAGCTTCACGACCGTCGAGGACTAGGCGCAGCATGCCGTCTTTATTGGCGACGAAGAAAGCTCCGATCCGGGCACGGATGCCCAACCTGAATCCGCCAGACCCACGGCGCGCAGGCGCATGACGAAGTCCTTGCGAGCCGCCCTGTCATGGCGGAGGCGAGGGCCCCAGTAAGGGCGCACTGCAATGATAAGCCCCTGCTCTGTCAGCGCGTCAATCTCCGAGGCGGCGCGGTAGATCGCGCTGTCAGCGTTGTCGAGGGCGTGGGCGCCAGCCGGCGGCAGCCTATCACGGAGCGGCCGCGGCGTGACCAAACCCCTGAGGACCCGAAGCTTCGACGGGTCGTAAGGTCGTAGGTGCTGAGGCTGGTCTGAGTACATGTCCGTGGACTTCAGGTGGCCGTAGAAGGCTTCGCTCGGCGTCGCAGCTGGCCGAGAGGGGAAGCGCGACACCTTGGCCCAAGTCCTGCGAAGGATGGAACGCTGCGCCAAAGTCGGGCGCCGTCCCGTCGGAGCATGGTGGGGCCTCAAGGCCCGAGGCGGGGCATCGAGTGCGTTGAGGGAGCGAAGCGCCTCCCTGCACCGTCTCTCGCACGAAGGCTGCCTGGCGCGGCAGCCGCGCGCGAACTCCCATCGGCGAAACACCGGAAGGGGAAAAGGATCACCGTGGGCACGGCCACGAAGTGTACGATAGTCACCTCACCTCGATCGGCTTGGCGCCCCCGTCGAGCTCGGCGAAGGCGGCGGCGAGGCAAACGTCGGCTGGGATGGAGCCGAGCTAGCCTCCCCCCTCTGGACCTCGCCGCCGCGGCCCCCGCGGGGGCTAGCCGCCGTCGTGGGCGGCCTCGGCACCACAGCCGCGGCCTCCGCCGCGCCCGCGGCCCCCGCCGCGGCCTGCCTCCTCGCCTGAGCCCCTGCCGCCGCCTCCGCCGCCGCCGTGCGCCAGGTGGCCAGCCTCCTCGTGCCAGAGGCGCATCTGCTTGAGGCGCTGTGCCTCGTCCCGCTGGAGGCTCGACACGAAGCTGCCGAGCTCGGGGAGCAGGGCGCGTCCATCTTCGCCGAGGAGGCGCGGGCCGCGCCCTGGCCCAGTGGCCTTCAAGCGCTTCCGCTCGGCGAGCTCGGCCTCCTCGACCAGGGCGGCGGCGACCCACTCCCCGTCGATGCGCACCAGCGCCGTGTTCTCGCGGATGATCATCTGGTCGCCGTCGCCGATGACGCCCTCGGGGGTCTCGTTGCCGAAGGCGTCGTGCGCGGGATCCGCGACGCGCCAGCGGCCCCCCTGCGGTAGTGCGCCAGCGGCGCCAATCAACCAGAAGACCTCGAGGAGGTCGCGGCCCGCGCGACGCATGCGGGCCAGCGCCTCCGGCTCGATCGGCACGTCGAAGAAGTAGGTTTCGGCCAAGAGCCGTCGGGGCAGGTCCTCGTCGCGGCCGAGGGGAATGACACGATGCTGTGATAGGTCGGCTAGCTGAACGTCGAAGTCGGGTGTTCCAACGATCAATTTTCCCGGAGTGGGAGTGGCAAGGAGCAAAACCCGTCCGTGATACCGAAAGCCGTTGGGGTCGTCCCAGGAACTGATCAGCACTTGGCGCTCAGGTATGTCCAAGGACTTAGACATGGGCCCTCAGCGAGGACGGAGTCGCTGCTGAACGTGGGAGAACAAGAGGCGCTGGGTGATCAGCGGGGGCGTCGACCAAAGGAGCCTGGCGTATCACCTCGCGATGACCTGAAGCCGCGGCGCGACGGGTAAGGGATACTGCGCACGAACCCAGCAAAGTGAGAAGCGAACCCACCACACAGCCCAAGATGAATAGAAGCGTCAACGAGAACTTTGAGCAGGCCTCCTCCTGCGAGCCGTCGCAGGCACCTCGAAGCTGAGCCCTCGCACTCGCGCGCTCCTGGTAGGCGTCCTGGATCACGTCCAGCGACCGCGTCAGCACGGGCAGGACCGCGTCGCGGGAGAGCGGCTCGGCGCCGCAGGTATCCACAGCACACACGCACGCAGGGCAATCGGGCGGGCCGCGGGCCAGCACGAACAACTGCAGGGAGGAGGCGAGTATTTGGTAAGCAGCTCCTGCGAGACCTGGATCGACCATCCGACCCGGGATTTCTTGAGTTGCTAAAAGGCAGCAGGGACAGGCACGCTGCTGCAGGCGGTGTGCTACACTGCGGGGGGCCAATCCATGTCAGAGACAAATCGTGCATGCATGTCTCCATACATGCATACACACATACATACAAACATTCATACATACATACATGCATAAATATATATACACATAGAAATACTTGTCCGTCGCAGCGCGGCAGAACCGATCCGCTCGCGCGCTCTAGTAGCTGGGGACGAGCGGCGAATTAATCAACGGGCAGCAAGAGAGGGATCGAGGGAGAAGGCGGCCGCAGAAAACAGGCGGGGGAGGGGGGCACTCACCGCGGCAAGAGTTTCAGGATGCGCGCCGGTTCGGCCAGCCTGTGCCAAGGCGACCTGGCAGTGGACGCGGGGCGACGTCACGACTACACCCAGGGGCTGAAGCCGAGGCTCAGGAGCTGGAAGCGTTCGGCGAGGCGAACTGGTACGGTCAGGAGGAACGGCTCGCGGGCCCACAGTGGCAAGATCGGGAGCATCCAAACGTCCGTCGCATAGCCGAAAGCGTCAGACTTTGCTGCAAGGTACGGCGCCAACAGGACGCAGACACGGACTGAGCGGCCGTGGCGGGAGATGGGGCTGCGAGCCGCGCAGTGTAGCTGTAGCACAATGCTGCAATGCTGAGCCCACGGGCTGCTGAGCTGCCGCAGCGGTGCAGCGGGGGCGACAGAGCCACCTGCCAATGCCAGGGGAGGCTCAGGCGGCGGGGGGCGGAGTGAGCCGGGCAAGGGAGGGAGCCACTGGGCCTGGCCGCTGCACGCATCACAGCCGGGCGGGGCGGAGCGCCCGGCAGGGCTGGAAAGGGCAGGGGCGCCCAGCTGCAAGGGAAGCGTGGCGGGCGGCCCGGCGTGAGCCGGGTGAGGGGCCGCCCAGCGCGCAGCCAGTCGGGGCCGCGCGCAGGGGAGCAACACAGACACACACACACACAGAGACACACACACACACACACACACACACACACACACGCACACACACACACACACACACGTACGTACGTACGTACGCACGCACTCACGCACGCACGCATGCACGCACGCACGCACGCACGCACACATATACACACACGCACACGCACGCACGAACGCACACACACACACACATACACTCGGCACACACACACACCACAAACACACACACACACACACACATCACACCAGCACAACATCGAACACACCACTACACACCAGCGACGGTACACGACGACACACACACACACACACACACACACGCACGCACGCAAACGCACACACACACACACACACACACACACACACACGCACGCACGCACGCACGCACGCACGCACGCACACACAGACACACACACACACAAACAAATACACGCGCACACACACGCACGCAAACACACACACACACGCACGCAAACACACACACACACACTAACACACATACACACACTAACACACACACACACTAACACACACGCACGCACTAACACACACACACAGGCATATGGAGCCGCCGTCCCTTGGCTGCTTTTTCGACTAACCATTGTATCGGAAATGCATTCCAAACGATGCGAAACAACAGAGCGGACATTTCCGCCTCGGAAGAGTAGGGCGGGTACGTCCGCAAATGGATGGCAGACACAGCGACGGCAAAGTATGGCGGCAATCGGCATCAAGGGCGCTTGAACAGCAGGGCGGCAAATTCCGCCCTGCTTGCGAAATCGCCCAAGAAGCACGGCGGATCCGAGCGCCGTGACCTCCTCGCGACGAGCGGAGGTGGCCCCCCCACGGCGCGCGGCCGCCAGGCCGCCCCGCGGCCGCAGCGGCCCGAAGAACGGCCCGCCCCGAAAGGGCCCGCGGCCGCCCCGAAACTGGGGAAACCCACACGTTCCCATACCACTGCCCCACAGCGGGTCGAGGCGAATCCAGCGGTGGCGACGAGGGCCCCTTCCCCGGGGAGGCCCCCCAGGTAAAAAAGCGCGAGGCAAGGGCAGCGGTATGGGTACCTCTGCCTCCCCCTAGGAAACGGCCCCGACGAACCCAGCGGTGGCGACGAGGGCCCCCCCCCCCCCCCCCTCCCAGGGAGCCCCCCCAGGAGGGAACACAAAGCGGGGCGAGGGCAGCGGTGTGGGTACCTCTGCCTCCTCCCCCGAGGAGCGGCCCCGGAGCGGTCCCGAAGCGGCCGCCCCTCGCCCCCCTCGCGACGCCGACCCCAGAGGTCTCGACCTGTCCCCCCCGGGGACCGGCTGCGCATCCCGAGTCGTTCGCGGACGCTCCCCGAGGCCCAGGGCAGCATGCGCCCCGAGAGGCCGAACATGGCGAAGCACCTCCCGTCGCGATCCCGGGCACGACGCGACGGGGGTCCAGGTTTAAGTCGGGCGTGTCCCCCTGCAGGGGGATTTCCCACAAAAACAAGAAAATACGAAAGAAATGCTCCAAAAGTACCCCAAAAAATTGTCCCCAGGCTATTTTTGGACTCTCTTGGAATACTCCCCCTGCAGAGGGACAGGCCCGACTTCAAGTCCAGGCCAACGGCCCCGAGCACGGCCGCCCCGCGCCCCCGCAGCGGCCCCCTCTGGCGCGCGCCCCGCCCCGAGCAGCGCCCCCGCGGCAGCCCCGCCGGAGCTGCGGCCCCCGACCCCGGAGGAGGCCTCGCCCGCGCGGTAGGCGTCCACCGTCAGCGTCGTGGGCGTGTCGCGGTGCACCTCTCGGGCGGGTGCGCCGCGGGGGGGGGAGAACCTACGACCCTCGTCGAAATGAACCTCAGCAGTTGCTGGCACGTCATTTCGAGTTCGGCCCGCCCCCTCAATGTCGACACGCCGCCCCTTCAATGCCGGGGCGAGGGCAAAGATAGTCTGACCGAAGTTGACTCGAAAGTTTGACGTCGACCGACATTGGAGGGGCGGCGCATGCAAGTACCCCGCACTCATCGATACTCGGCCCCAGATCTTCCGACAAGCAGTTCAACCACGTCAGACATTTTTGAGGTTAATTTTGACGAGGGTTGTAGAATGGGGCCCAGCAGGGCCCTTGCAGTGGGGCCCCAGAGTGGCCCTCTCGGGCCCGAGCGGGGCCCCAAAGAGGCCCTGAAGGGGCAAATGGGAGGTGCAGGGAAAGGGCCCCACGGGGGCCCCATGATGAGGGCCCCTCGGGGCCCTTTTCTTCTTCACTCCCCCATGCAGGTCACCCCCCATTGCCGCCCGCCCGAACCTCCGCCTGCAGGGTGAGCAGCCCCGGGGTCGGCAGGTCCAGCCCCACGGCGTGCCTCTCATGGGAGCGAAGCGGCGGGGGGAGTGAGGGGGGGGAGCAACGCTTCTTGGCTCGAGGTCTTCGGACGTTTTCGCAGGTCCTCGGCGGTTTTTCAGCCTCGGTATGCCTTCCAGCGGCTGCGCCTCGCCGAGGGCGTTCTAAGGGTGCCCGGATCGCCCCGAACGGCCACTGGAGAGCAAAGTTATGACCCGAAAACCAATAAGCATGATGCAGACCCTGGGATCTGGGCGTTGGATTTTTTCACTCCGGGCTGTTTTCGCTGCGTCTTTTGGGCTCCGGGAAGAGCGGGGGGGTGGAAGGGGGGGAAGGGGGGGAACGGGAGAGCTAGTAGCCATAGCGGCTGCGAAAGAGGAGGGGGAGGGAAGGTTAGACTTGGACAGCCCTGGTGAAGGACCCCGGATGCCGAACACGACCAACAAACAGTCCGTCATGATTTTTGCCGAACCTCACGACTACCCCACTACCCCTCCCCGCGTCACCCTCTCCTCCTCCTCCTCCTCCTCCTCCTCCTCCTCCTCCTCATCATCATCATCATCATCATCATCATCATCATCATTATCATCACCACCACCATTATCACCACCACCATCATCATCATCATCATCATCATCATCATCAGCATCATCATCATCAGCATTATCATCATCAGCATCATCATCAGCATCATCACCACGCTGCCCCTCCTCCTCGAGTTGCCCGCTCCTGCTCCTCCTCCCCTCCCCTCCCCCGTCAGCTTCCCCTTCCATGGGCCACATGCAGCGATGACAACTGCCAGCTGCCCCACTGAGGGAACGGAGGCCGACCACGGGAATCCCCGACCATGGGAGGGAAGGAAACGGAGAGGGAAGAGAAGCAGGGAGAAGGGACATACTCGTTGTGTGGGAGTGCCTGGTAGCTCTGCCAGCTTTCTAACGCGCACACACACACACACAACGGGCGCAGCGAAGGAGGAGGAGGAGGAGGAGGAGGAGGAGGAGGAGGAGGAGGAGGAGGAGGTGGAGGACGAGGAGAAGAATGAGGAGGAGGAGGAGGAGGAGGAGGAGGAGGAGGAGGAGGAGGAGGACGAGGAGGAGGAGGAGGAGGAGGAGGTGGAGGACGAGGACGAAGAGGAGGAGGAGGAGGAGGAGGAGGCGGAGGAGGAGTAAGAGGAGGAGGAGAAGGACAGCAGAGTGGAGGGGGGAGCAGTGAAGAAAAGGGAGGGGTAACCACGCAAGTGGCCGAAACTCCCGCAGGTCCACTCCGCTACGACTCTGCTCGGCGGGCGAGGCTCCCGCACCCTGTGCCATCTGCGGACGGGCGCACACGCGGGGAAGAGAGGGAAGAGGGGGAAGGGGGCGAGCGTGCGCAAACCAGGAGAAGAGAGGGAAGGGAGGGCAGGGAGAAGAGAAGAACGAGAAGCTCGAGCGTGCGCACAGGACAGGCAGGACACGCAAGGCGACTGCAGGGCAGTGGCAGGGTCGTGCGCTGCGCCACAATGCCTGCCCGGGCCCTGCCGTGCAGGGACGCGAAACACAGCTGGCTCCCTCCCTCCCTCCCCCCGTACCGTGCAACCCCTTCCCCCCTCTTCTTCCATCCTCCTCCTCCTCCTCTCCTCCTCCTCCTCCTCCCCTTCCTCCTTCCTCGTCCTCCTCCTCCTCCTCCTCGTCCTCCCTCCTCTCCTCCTCTCCGCCTCCGCCTCCGCTCCTCCTCCTCCTCCTCCTCCTCCTCCTCCTCCGTCTCCGCGTCCTCCTCCTCCTCCTTCTCCTCCTCCTCCTCCTCCTCCTCCTCCTCCTCCACCTCCTCATGTCAGAACGCGGGCCGTACGCGGCCGTTCGGGAAGATTCCGGCATCCGCGGATCGCTATCCAGGAGGCGCAGCAGATGGAAACCGCCTCGGGCCCCGAAAACTTCAGAACCCTGACGACAACCTCAAACACGGCGACGCCAGCGAGGGAGGCGCGCCTCTTGACGGTGGACGGCACGCCGAAGACGTCGTGGATCCGCACCTCGCCAGTGACGGCGGTGTAGGCTCGGGACCTGGCGGGGTCGGCGGGGGGGGCTCCTTTCCTCTGACGCTGCTGCGGCCTGCTGCTGCTCAAGTGAGAAAGAGAGAGACAGAAAGAGAGAGAGAGAGAGAGCAAGAGGAACAAGAAGAGAAGAGGAGGAGCTGGAGGACGGGGAAGAGTAGGAGGAGAAGGAGGAGGAGGGGGAGGGGGAGGAGGAGGAGGAGGAGGAGGAGGAGGAGGAGGAGGAGGAGGAGGAGGAGGAGGAGGGAGGACGACGACGACGACGACGACGTCGAGGAACGAGGAAAGGGAGAATTGAGATGGAGGGTAAAAATGGCCATGTGAGGCCAGGAAAGCCTCGGCGTCGGCCCGAGCGGCCTCCTGGGGGTCGATGTGCTGCTGCTCGGCGTCAGCTTCGACCTCGTCAATGATATGAGGCGTGCCTGAAACCTACTGCTGCGCATCGTTCTGGACAAGGCCATCCTTGTCGAGCTCGGGAAGGAGCTGGGCATCGTCCTGGACAGGGCTATCCTGGTCGAGCTCGGCAAGGAAGATCTGCCTTTCGAGACAACATTAAACACAAGCAAAAACATAAAAGCAAAGTTTGGGAGGTCCAGGCAGAATGATTGGATTGGTGCTGGACCCCCCTCTCTGGCACGCGGAGCGCGCCAGGGGGGTCCAGGGCCGATCCTGCAGCTCCGCGCGGACCTCCGGAAATTTGTGCTTATGCTCGTGCTCTCTGTTCCTTTCTCTAGGGGTGGTCCTTGATTCAGCGTTTTGACTGTGCACGCCTCCTCCTCCTCCTCCTCCTCCTCCTCCTTCTCGCAAGGCCCGCGCAAACACTCCTGCTCACGCCGGGGAACACCCGCTCCGACTAACAACGACCGTTCCCTTTGGCCACGCCACTCGGGCGGCAGCTCCGCCTTGAAAAGAAAGCCCGCCATCCATGCCGCACCAGAGACTTCTTGATCCGCGGGCGCAAGCGGGCAGAGAGCCAGTGCAGATGCCGGTCAGCGTCAGGAGGGGCGCTCCAGGAATGGACTGCGGCGCGGAGGGAACGGGACAGAGCCCTGAGAGCCGACGTTGTGAACAAAAATGCGACTTCTCGAAAAAAGCATGGACACACAACCACCACTGCAGCCCAAAATCCCATCTTTCTGCGCCGTCTGTCAAGCCGGATCGACCTGCGAGGGTCCCAGGGCGGCCCGAAACTGGGCGAAGACGCCCGGCGAGAAGCCCGAAGGACGCCTGGGCACCACTGGCTTCGGAGGCCCCTGCCCCAGCCCGCCCCCGGGCGCCGGACGCCGGGACGTCTCCGGGCGCCCCGACGCCAGGACCTCTCATAAGGAGGAGCGGAGGCGCACGAGACGGAGCCGCGGCCCGAGCGTGAAGTCCGCCACGCGCGCGACGGAGGCGCCCCCCTCCGCGCACCGCGCCCCGCGGCGCGCGGCGCGCGCGCGGCTCCGCGGCCTCGTGCCGCCCCGCTCGGGGAGGAGGGCGGCGCTCCAGCCCGGGCCGCGGCGCGCGGCCGCACGGCTCGCTGCACGACCCTGTGGGGCGACCCACACGGAGGCCACCTGGATGGGGTCCGGGTGGATGGGGTCGAAGGATCGCGCCGCATCGCCGATGCCTCGCCGGTGCATCGGGGACGTCGGCGTGGGGAAGCACAGGCTCCACATCGAGCCGCCTGGCCGATGCATCGGCGATGCGGCGCGATCCTCCGACCCCATCTACTCCGTCCCCATCTGGGAGGCCTAGACCACAGACATGCCAGCGGTGGCTGGTTCCAGAAACCCTGAATAGGACACACTGAAGCTTATACTAATACGATATATCCTCCTTGGAGCCGTGCGTCCGACCCGAACATCTAGTATAACAGTCGTGTCGTATGTCGTTTCCCGAGCGGTACGGCCAGAAAGCGTCCGCCACGGAACGTCTGCTACAAGATGTCTCGGCGCGCGTCGCCCCTGCGGGGACGACGCACGCATAGTACTGGTATGTTGGAGTGACGCCGACTGAACTCCAAAAGGATGTAATCGCTTTGGGGAGGGGTGGATGTCTCACTTTCGCCAGCTTCCGACGGCGGAGCCACCCCCGTTTTACGTCCGCTGGCTTCCGCTGGCCTTCCACCACCTACCACCGAGGAAGGGCTTTCAAATTCTCGATCCCCTGAAGTCGACGCCCTTGCTGGAACACCCCGTGCTTCAATCATACAGCTCAAGTGGGTGCTCAGTGAGAGCCCCATACCACCCTCTATCCAAAATGGCTCTGGGGATGTTGAAAAATCGGAGCACTGCGTAGATCTGAATACGTGCTACGCGAGACGTCCGTCTTGGAAAAGAGCCGCCCTCATCCCGTGCACGTGCCGACCGCACCTACGGTTCGGACAGTTAAACGTGTGAAGGTCTCAAGCGAGAGCCCCGTTGTGCAAAAGAGAACCTGGAAAACCTGTCCACCCCTGGAGCAGCTGCACACGAGAGTGACGCATGCGCGCGGCGCCTTGGCGGCGAGAGTTATGTTGCTCCCATCGTACTTAAGGGCCACATCCCAGAAATAATTTCGAGCACCCGGAAAAGTGTCGAAACAGAGTCGGGCGAGTGTCTCCAAGGGCCCGACACGTGAAAATCCTCGAGGTTCGGTACTGTCTTGGTGCTCGACATTCTTCCTGGCGGCCAAGGCTAAAGCAGGTTGGAACATCAGAAGGCGAGAGGCACACTTCGGACACAACCCCCCCTGTCGGCGGTGGACAAACCTCCCTTTAGTAAGCCTCCCTTTAGTGAAAACGGCCTAGGACCGAAACCGACGGACCTGGACCCGCAAAAATGACGGCCGCGACGCCCTCTCGCGAGCCGACAACGGCCAATTCGCTAGTCGACCTGCCAGGGTAGAAGGTCTATCAACCTCCGACCCCGTCTCTCCGCGGAGCTGATGCAACACAACTGTCTGGATCGACAGGCGCGGGGCGACGAGGCAGGGCCAATGTGAAAACCACCCCCCCTCGGTCCTCGGAGCCGATGCGAGCTGTGCGGCGAGGGCAGCGTCGTGCACGGGCACTGCGGCGAAGACCACATCTCAACAGCGCTCCGCCCTCAATCCGTGCAGCTGCTGGGAGCTTCAAGGTTCAGTCCTAGCTGGCGAGAGCGGCCATGGCGAAACTCCTCGAGCGTCCTACCGACAAGTGTAGGGATGCGAACTGGGCAGTTTTGTACTGGCGAAGGGGCGGGGGGCGAGGACAGGGGCCGTGGGGGCGGAGGAGAAGGAGAAGAGAGGGAGCGGAGGAGGAGGAGGAGGAGGAGCAGGAGGAGGAGGAGGAGCAGGAGGAGCAGGAGGAGGAGGAGGAGGAGGAGGAGGAGGAGAGAGGGAAGAGAGGAGGAGGAGGAGGAGGAGGAGGAGGAGGAGGAGGAGGAGGAGGAGGAGGAGGAGGAGGAAGAGGGGGAGAAGGAGGAGGAGGAGGAGGAGGAGAGAGGAGGAGGAGGAGGATGAGGGAGGAGGAGGAGGAGGAGAGGAGGAGGAGGAGGAGGAGGAGGAGGGAGACGAGACGAGACGAGACGAGACGAGACGAGACGAGACGAGACGAGACGAGATCAATGACGATGTCAAAGCAGCAAGAGCGGGGGCGGGGTGCGGCGGCGGCCCTGGGTGCCGAACTCGATGAGCGGCCGCGCGGCGCGCGACCGCGCGCACGCGCACGCCGCTCCGTCCGACCGAACCGCACACACACACACACACACACACACGCACACGCACACGCACACGCACACGCACACGCACACACACACACACACTCTCTCTCTCTCTCACGCACACACACACACTTAGGGCCCCCGCGGAACCCCAATTGGTATATTATGAAAGACCTCTAGCTGCCCGCTCAGCCTTGCTGAGCACCTTAGGCCAGAGGCCTCGAGAAATTATGTCAAGGTGTTCCCTCTTGGACTTAGTGAGAGGGATCGGTGGAACTCTACGGGCAGGACACAACACCGCCAGGCCACGAATCTGTAAGTGGCCATAACTCCCACACGCCTTACATAACCAAATATCAAGACCATTATGATATAACATAAAATGGGAACCGTGGACCACACCCCCAGCGAGCTGTAAATCCCTACCCAGAGGCAATTGATAGAGGACACTCGCCACAGGGAAAAGGTCGAAACAATCTGTGGCCAGCCAATGTGCTCGACCAGTTTCTGTGGTGGAGCTCTGACAACGGGAACATCTTTTTTCCACGCTCACGGACCGAATGGCTAGACTGAAAAAGAGCAACAGATACTGGAGGCGGGGGGGCGAGGGCAACGGCAGGAGCAGCAGAGCGCCTGACCTTTTTCCCAACCTTACACGACTCCAACGTGGCCCTTAAGAGCCGCTCCCGAATGAGACGCACCTCGCCCTCGACCGATACACTCGAGCTCTTTGCTCTGCTGGGGCGCTGAAGAGACGGGCAGCCGTCCCAGCAAGAGCATCCGCAAAGACATTACCTGCTTCTCGGTGGCCAAGGAGGTGTCTGTCCACCACTTCGGCGGCCTCAACATGCGATGGCACTTTGAGGACACACCGGTCGCCTACTTGTCGACCCGACATTCGAATGGCAACGCTCAGCCTCCGCCAGAGATCCGCCTTGGGCCCCTGCGGGGCCTCGAAACACCTACAACAGAAGCCTCGAGATTTCTCGTCGTTATCTGTAATGTACGCTATGGGACCCCTAGAGTGTTCCACGGCTACCACAAAACAGAGAAGCCCCCTCCTTTGGGACCGTCTGGCGACGCCCAGGGAGGGGCCCATACACAAAACGCTGAGACAGAGGGGCGGCGGTGGGCGCCGTGGCGACAGCCACTCCTGCACGCCGAAGCCTGGGACAGTGGGCATCTGCACCTCCAGACGCATCCCCCCAAATCAAAAGAGGTAGGTCTGGGGTGTCTACCCCGAAAAATACATCACCAAATTCTTCGTGATCATGGCTACGAATCCAAAATTCATCGACCGGTGGCGTGTCAACCTCAAGCATCTGAGACTGGATGAGGCCACGCAGCC